TACAACTTTTATATGTCAATAATATCCATATATGTTAATGTTGCTATTTTGTGTTGTTATTTTCGAATTCTATGAGTAATATAACTTGTTTTGTTAACGAGTGATGTCTTCCTTCAATTATCATTTATTATTTTTTGACTAATTCAACAATTTTATATTCTTTTAATTGTAACTAGTGGGTTCTATTCGTATTATCGAACGACTAGATTTTGATAATCGTTCTTATTATTGCTCACTATAAAAATAGCCATATTTCTTTAATATATGTAGTAAATAATTTATATTTTATAAGTCTGTACATTTAAAATGATTTAAACTAACTCTATTCCATATTGAAAACATAGCATACATAACCTAGGACTGCTTATAATTCTCTTAACAATTTATAATAAAAATAATAAATATGCAACGTCATACTTTTATATTTTTGATAAACTAATTAAAATATAATACAAACATATATTTTTTATTCAGTTAATATATACATAATTCAATCATACCTCCAGGGAACAAACGAAAGTGTTAATTTCATTTTTTATTTTCTTATAGTAAATTATAGTAATTAAACTAAGATTCTAATTTATATGTATAATAACATTAGGATATAAGCTTAAAATAGATCATTTATCAATATGAGTTAAATTTATTGTTATATTAAAACACCATAACCTTTCTCACTAACATTAATAATCCTCAGGGTAAAATCTATTTAGCAATCTATAATTAATATAACAATATATATTGTTATTCATCAGGCCAATTTTATCATATTAACAATTCGAAATGGAATTAATTGATAAATTTAAAAAGTAAGGATCAATGTAACTTGGTTAATAAAAATATGTATAATGAATATGGAACCTTTTATTAACACTAATAATTATTACCACATAAGAGGAGCCGTTTAGGTTAAACGAGTGTGACAAACTTCAAATACTTAAATTCAGTAAGCGGTGCCGGTGGGTGACTTGGTGACATCGATGAAGCGCAGCAAGGTGTGGGCGATTACTTCATATTGGTCATGTATTTTTCTCTTTTTGCCTTTTTTTTGGGCAAAACGGCCAACACAATGTGAAATAGCATAATCGTCCATTGTTCCCTGGTTCGGGTTCAGTTTGGGATTTCATACTCTTGAACCCTAGTTTACATTGTAATCATATTCCGATATTGACGATAGAAGAGAAATCAAAGGAAAACTCCAGTAAATGAAAGAGGTTGGTCTTGTTGATTATTTTTAGACTTCCACAGTAAACATTTGATTGTCCTTTTACTGCCTGTTGTTTGCGCATCAGTTATGTGCATATATGTGTAAAAGATTTTATAAGTAGTATCAAATTATGGTTTTAATAAAATTAATTCTTTGATTTTAGATATTTAATCCTAAGCTATTTTCTCTATATGCAAATAATAATCAAACCAACTCTACTCATTCAAATATATAAATTGGTAAAGTAAAAAAAAAGAATTAACACTAAAAAAAAAAATAGCAGATGCAGTGGAAGAAATAGCACGTGGCAGGCAGATTCAATGGCCAAATTAAATTAGTATTATTTATAACAGGGAGGCTGAAAATTAATGGATAATAGACAAAGATAACAATAGGGAAAAGAGTCATCTTACCCAAATTTATTATCTAATCCAAATTTAAAATTGAGGTTCGACGAACGCGGCACGACCATCTGCAGAGTAGGTACCGTTATCGCATTTTTTATTTTCCATCTTCGCAAACACTGAGAATTGAAAAACGATACTACAAACTAAAGTGAATTGAAACTATAATTTAGCGATTAAACTTAAAAGTCTAAAATGCCTATCCGACGAGCAACAACCACGACAATGGCGATGAGTGGCGCGATGGAGCTGACAAGGACAGCCACGAACGCGATGGAGTAGGATTGAACGCTACGGCACTGGATTTACGGAGATGAGGGAGAGAAATTGTGTAGGAGAGGGCGGCTGAGTTTGAGTAAAAAATAGAAAGAGGCGCTACTTTGTGTTTTTTAACCTAGTTAGGTGTTGAAAATTTGATCTCTAGATACAAATAATTCGTCATTTCATATTACGTGAATTGAAAAATGGCTACCATCTTAAGATTTCAGTCTTTGAGTCTTATTAAATAATGAGACCAATTAATTTATTTCGCGATTTTTTTCAACATTTTACTATTATTTTAATGCTATTTTGTTGTTAATTCGAACTAAACGACAAACTTAGTTGTGAGTCCGTCTTCATTCAATTATCATATTATTTTTGACTAATTCAACAATTTTATTCATTTTAATTGTAACTAGTGGTTCCTATTCAGTGACGCATTTGAATCGGTCTCTAAAATTGCTCACTAAATAGCATTTTTCTTATAGTGTAATATCTTAAATTTATAAGTTTAGTTTAAATGCTAAAAATAAATAATGTGTTTTTTTAATATTAAAATACATTAACTCTTTTTTTTTGAATAAAATATTAACTCTTTCTTACAGATAACTCATCCGAAAAAGCAGGCTTATTTTTATTTTTATATAAATTAAGAAAAAAATATAAATATAATTTGAATAGTAAATTTTATCAGTATTTTTTTTTAACATACCCTTAAACTAAAATTAATATCTCAGTATTATTTGAATTATAATTAAATATTATTTCTATCCAATAATTTCAAACGGATGGAATAAAAAATTAAAAGTAGGATCATGTAATAATTAATAAATGATAAATGAATGCAGACTTAATTACCTAAAAACAAAAAGCAGAGCGTAGGAAGGGACAAACCAATCAATGCGTGACTGTGACTGTGACTGTGAGGAGGGAGTGGCGACCATTTTTTTTCTTTTTGACTTTTTTTGGGAAAAGGACCACACATGTGAAATAGCAAATCGTCCATTGTCCTGTTGGTTCAGTTTGATTAACTCTTGAACTGAAAATTAGTAAACCGAATTGAACTGAAAATCAAACCAGTACTGTTGGTTCAGTTTGATTAACTTGCCCACAATAAATTTGATTGTCCCTTTACTTTGTTTTGTCAGTTTGATTGAAGTTTTTAAGTAGTTCAATTTGTTTTAATAAAATTCAATTGTTTAGATTTAATCCTAAACTTTCCTCTTAATGACAAAATAATAAATCAAACCAACTTAATTCAATCCGATTTATCTTGGAGATTCGATTTGCAATTCTTAAACTTCAACTCTGATTCGGTTTGATATAAAGCCCACCCATATGCTTCAAAATATATTTTATGTGAACTGGATAAAGGTTTTACTATTTAGATTTTTTATATAGTTATGAATATGACAGATTATCTGCATACATTAATAAATTAGCCGTCGGATCCTATGGCTCATAAAATATGATTTATAAAATAAGCTTATAAATAAAATATTAATCCGATGGCTCAGTTTACTGACTCCACTATGGTCAACATGTGCTATGAGCTGTTGATGTACTAAATGAATGACTTTTTCTGATCCAACGGTTAATGATTATTATATCCAATCTGATTGGTTTTGATGGCCGCCAGCAATAATGATACACCCTTAGCCTCAAAACATAAATCCTTTAAAAGTGATGACTTTCATAAAAAATATAAATTGTTTTAAATATTTTAATTAATAATAATTATCTTCACAAGTTAGTTTTGATTTTAAAATAAAAGACAACTTAGTCAAAATTATTTTTGGTTTTATTATAATTTTAGAGAGTTAATTTTTATTCTCAATTTTCGTGAAAGAACTTTAAATGACTTATATTTTGTGATAGAGAAAGTATTTTTCTACAAATCTAACAAATTAGCTGAAGAACCATTGTTGATTTGAGTAATTAAATGAGATAAAGTGTAATTAGGTTAATTAAAGAGTATTTATCTTTTTTTCTTTTTAGAAAAATCAAACTAGAATTTCATTAATTGAAAATTGTATATAGATATGAGGTACAAATAAACATGTTTCTATATTTTTGTATAAGAAGTTTAATAATAAACCACTTATACAAAGAATAAAAAAATACAATCTTGATTTGAAGTATCTGATGTAGTTAACAGAGAATAATATTTGTGTCATTAGCGATCGCTTGCTCCACTTGGTGGTTATTCATGGTTGTTCGACTCCATGGTCTTTTTACAAATCCGATCTTATTGCCTTCAAATTTCTTCATTTTATTGGAGAGAAGATCTGCACAAAATCACTATAATGGTGATAACAACAACTAAAAACTAGATTTGAAGACCTCCCAATATATGAACAATAATAAATCTCAATATATTAGTAACAATAACTCAAATCTGTAAATATATTTGAGTATTATTTGTAAAAAAATCAAACAAAAAATGAAAAGGGTCATCGGTGAAAAAAAAAGAGAAGAAAAGTTTTTTTAAGAGTAATTATCTTAATGCAAGTGATTTAATTATTTTTTTTAATTAAAAGTGGTTGAAGTGGTTTAAACCACAAAGAAAAGTGGATAGAAAGAGTATTATATAATATATATATTTTATCCAAGATAATTTGATCTAGTGATTGAAGTACATTACAGTCTACTCTAGTGATTGTGTAATGCAATCGGTATTTTGGAGAGAGCTTTAAAATATAATTATTACTAAAAAAATAATCCATGTGTTTTTATATTATTAAATGACATATATATACTAATCAAAATTTGATTTTTTAATGTAAAAATTAAGACCATCAAACCTATAAAATTGGGTAATAATCGGTTATAATAATAATAATAATAATTTTTAGTCATATAAATATAAATATACCTTAAATAAGGATAAACTAAGAAATCCCACAAATTATTATTTAAAAAAAAAAGTTATATAACTATGATTTCAAATAAATACGAAAAAGACAAAAACAATTAATTGGGAGGGAGTGTTTCAAAGTATCCTAATCATGTTTCGCACAATAAATTGGCAAAGACACGTAGGAACTTTAAGGATACAAGCTACAACAATTAGAATATCTCTTGGATTTCCTTTTTATTATTATTAGCATTTTGTCTCATTATGGGATAGAACTCCTATAAAAGGGGTGGCAGGTCTTCATGCATTATCCAAGTTATCAGCAATAACAAAGTGTTCGCTTGATGGTCTCAATCGCAATGGAGTTTCGCGTCCTTGCAACCTTAGCTTTACTCTCTGTAAGCATTTTATATAGTAATCTGTCCTTTCTTTTTCAGCTTTAGTTAGTTGAAACTCTGAACAAAGGAAATTTAGAAACGCCAGTTTGATATATAATGAAAATTTTTATGACAGGTGGTGATAATAGGAACATGTAATGCTGCTCTACCTGCTGAGGTGTATTGGCATTCCAAGTTGCCAAACACGCCTATTCCACAAGATCTTCTGAGTCTTCTTCAGCCCGGTTTGTTTCTCAGCTCTACTACATGATAATTTCTATGTTATATGCTTTTGGGAGAACTATATATTAGTTTTTAGAACAGAAGACCCTTCATTATAATGTCTTTGTTTTTTTTGTTTTTGAAGAATTACAGTAATCTTTGTTCACCACAGCTTAAGTTTTTGAAGAATTATCCTTAATACGTGCTTTTGTCTTAACAATTCTTGTACATCATTCAATGTATCTTTTTTTATTTTTTCTTTTATTTGCATGTATTTAGATATGGAAGATAAGTTCACTTTCTGGGACATGGGTTTGATGGATAAGACTTCTGATGATCGACGTATAAAATATGGAAAGCGGTATGAAGACGCTTTTGGTGAAGGCATGGATGACAAGAGACAGAAATATGGTAAGCGGTATGACAAGCGGTACGAAAATGCTTTTGAGGAAGGCGTGGATGATAAGAGGCAGAAATATGGTAAGCGGTATGACAAGCGGTACGAAAACGCTTTTGAGGAAGGCGTGGATGACAAGAGGCAGAAATATGGTAAGCGGTATGACAAGCGGTACGAAAATGCTTTTGAGGAAGGCGTGGATGACAAGAGGGCGCGTGGATGAACAAGAGGCAGAAATATGGTAGCGTTATTGAAAGCGGTAGCGAAAACGCTTTCGAGGAGAACGTGGATGACAGGAGGAGAATACGGTAGGGGTATGAAAAGATGACAAGAGGCAGAAATATGGTAAGCGGTATGACAAGCGGTACGAAAATGCTTTTGAGGAAGGCGTGGATGACAAGAGGCAGAAATATGGTAAGCGTTATGACAAGCGGTACGAAAACGCTTTCGAGGAAGACGTGGATGACAGGAGGAAGAAATACGGTAGGCGGTATGAAAACGCCTTTGAGGAAGGCATGGATGACTTTGAGGAAGGTGTGGATGACAGGAGGAAGAAATATGGTAGACGGTATGAAAACGCCTTTGAGGAAGGCGTGGATGACTTTGAGGAAGGCGTGGATGACAGAAGGAAGAAATATGGTAAGCGGTATGAAAACGCCTTTGAGGAAGGAGAGGATGACAGGAGGAAGAAATATGGTAAGCGGTATGAAAACGCCTTTGAGGAAGGAGAGGATGACAGGAGGAAGAAATATGGTAAGCGTTATGAAAACGCCTTTGAGGAAGGAGAGGATGACAGGAGGAAGAAATATGGTAAGCGATATGAAAATGCCTTTGAGGAAGGTGTGGATGACAGGAGGAAGAAATATGGAAAGCGTTATGACAATGCTTTTGAGGAAAACACTGATGACAAAAGGAAAAAATATGGAAAAAGATATGAAAGGAAATTTGACAAACATAATCTCCCCAACTCAACGGTGTTCTTTATACATAATGATCTTCATGCAGGGCAGAAAATGAGACTTCACATAACAAAATCTACAAACAAAGCTAGAATCTTGCCTCGTCAAGTTGCTGATTCCATACCTTTCTCAACTGATAAGTTATTAGAAATTTTTCAGCGTTTTTCCGTAGACCCTGAATCAAGCCAAGGCAAAGTCATAAAACAAACTATAGATGATTGTGAGTCACCTGGTATTAAAGGAGAAGACAGATATTGTCCCACTTCTTTGGAGTCTTTGGTTGATTTTAGTGTTAAACATGTTGGGAATAAAGCTCAAGTTCTTTTTAATGAGGTAGATGAACCCAAAAGAGAGCAAGAGTACACTATTATGGATGTCAAATTCATGGGAGAAAATCATATAGTGTGCCACAAGCAGAAATATCCCTATGCTGTTTATTATTGTCATGCACTACATAACACTAAAGTTTATACAGCTCCGTTGGTGGGCGCTGACGGTACTAAAGCCAAAGCAGTGGCAGTTTGCCATTCAGATACATCTGCATGGAATCCAGGACACTTAGCCTTCTTACTCCTCGACATGAAGCCAGGAGAAGGAACAGTCTGTCACTTTATTAGAAGTGATACGTTTGTTATGGTATCCTCTAATGAAAATATTGAAAAAAGCTCCAATGATGCCAATCTCCTCAGTCAAGCTTAGAGTTTAAGCTTGCTTTCTCGTTGTACTACTGCTATGCTAGATTTCCCAATAAGCCACTTTTTAAAGTGCCAACCTTTGTATTAGAACATGCTCAACATTTATCCCTACCTATCACATGTTGATGCATATGCAATGTTAATATGTTGTACAATGTTGTTTTAATTAAATTTCCTGTGAGTCTTAGTGCACTTGTTTCTTCTAGACATCTTAAACAATTCCAATTTATGACTCTACTGTGAAATATGAGCTCGACTATATATATATATATGCTAAAAAATAATTTTAAATTAATTTGATCATTATTTTATTTTTCTTTTAAAAAGTCCTGACATGCTAAAAGATATAATTATCTAAAATTACTATTGTAAAAAAAAATTAAAATCAATGTGCATACATATATGTGATGGATTTAAGAGTTTAGGATTTATGATTTACGGTTTAAACTTCATATGTTTTTAGAACTTTAGGATGTAAGATGTTATTATGGTTTAAGATGTAGAGTATACTATTTTAAAATTTATAATCTAAAATTTATTGTAATTTAAGCTAAGCTAACGACAAAAATTAACTAGATGTATGTAGATAGACATGGAAGACAAGGGGTTAATATTTTAATGTTTTATTTTAATTTTTTTTTCTTTACTAAAAGAGAAATTCAAGATAAATAAGTTAAATAAGATAATTTTATCAATATATTTTTTTTTAATTTTTACACATTTATTTTAATAAAAATATAAAAAATTATATAGTATATTATAAATATAATTAATATTTGTTATTTATTTTTATGAAATTACCATTTTAAGAATATTTTAGAAAAAAAAGCAAATGAATTCCAATTATTAATTCATTCCATAGATTAATTTTTTAATTAAAAATTCTCATTAAAATCAATCTAAAATTAAGTTTTTTTTTTAAAATCGTATTATTATCTTTGTTCCATTTTAAGTTTATAGGAATTTAAAAAAATAAACCACTTTAATTTAAAAAAAGGTTGTTGCAATTAACCTTTTAGCAATTTTTTAATAATTAATATTTATTTATTTGAGATATTGATGCATAGGAGAGATGATGTGAGTGAAAAATACTAAAATTTTACTAAAAACGCTTTCCTTTATAAACCTGATATAGCGCAAGTAGATTTAGATTTAGCCAATAAATCAGGGACATGTGAGGTAAAAACCAAAAAAAATGTATAAATTGGTAAAGTTGAAAAAAAAAAAACTTTAAAAAATAGTGAATGAAGTAGAAAAATTTGTACGTCGTAGAAATATTTAATGACCAAATTAAATTATTATTTAGAGCAGAAAGGATGGGAATTAATGGATAATAGACAAAGATAACAACGGGGAAAAAGACTTCTTACCTACTTAATTACTTATTAGTACAACTCTATCTTTATTTAATGATAAGAGTTCGTTGAATTCAATTAAAGTCCAACATTTCTACCAACAAAACAATCAGTTAACTTCCAAAAAAAAAACAAAACAATCAGTTTGTACATTACTCTGAACAAAACTGGTAAAAAAGAAAAAATATATATATTTTAAAATCTTTTCGTGCTGGATAAATTTCACTATCAGCTTAACCAAACAAAACCAGATCAGAAATTTATGAATCTTGTATAAGCTCATGTGTTTATCACTCTTTTTTTTCTTTCAAAAAAAAAAAAAATTTGTTACATTTCAAAAAAAATGTGTACGATCTCACTTTAGTTGTGTTTCATTCATTAATTTATCCCTTTAGGGTTTATTCCGCGACATTAGCTGTTGTGGTGGCTGTTAGTTATTTTAGTAATATTTAGCTGTTAATTGTTTGAATAGATTTTCATAAAATATTAAAAGTTAAACGTCACATAGGTTAACTTTTTATAAAACGTTATTTTGACACTATAAAAAATAGCGTTTAGCATTTTGACCAATCTTAATATGGATAATGCATCCATGATTCCAAAAAAAAAAAAAAAACTATGCAAAATTTCCCTCAAAATTCGTTGATTTGCAAGTTACACAATAAGAGATAGCTCTCTCTTTAATTTATTAAATGATGTATTTTTTCTTATCGGTAGAACTTGAATATAATATCTCTCACTCTCCACGTAATAATTATATTTAATATTTAAAATTATTAAAATATATTAATGCAGAAAATATTTAAAAAATAGTACTCCCTCCTTTTTACTTTAATAGCAACAAATTGTCATTTTAATTTGTTCACATTTAGGATTTTGAGAATATATTAATATTATTTTTAAATTTTACTCATATTTATTACGTGTAATTTATTTTTATGTTTACATCTATTTTTTTTTATCATTACTTTAATTGTAGTTAAATTAAAATTTTGACTATACATATAACTAAAAGTTTTTCATTATATTAAGACATGAAAAAATAAAATGTAAGTACTACTCTAATGGTTGTGCTTTAATATGAGATAAAATTAGCATTAATTTTGTAGTAAATGGGGAATTTTTAATTTTAAAAAGGACGATTTAGACATTTCCACTATGTATTTTTAAAAAATCAAATATGTTCTAATAATTTTCTTAATTCGTGTGAAAATATGAAATGTTACTACTGCCTCCATTCATAAACAATTGTCACATCTAAAAAAGTATTAGATTCCAAAATACTTATCACATTTGTGGTTCAAAAGAGTAATAGTTTTTTCCATGTTTACCCTTTGTATATAACTAATAATCCATGTTTACCCTTTGTATATAACTAATAATTATTACTTCAATTCCTCGATAATTTGGTGTTCAAATATGTTAAATTAAATGTAATATACTCAATTTACGTAATAATTTATTACCTTTTTTTTCCTTCCCAAAGATCATGTAAAAGACGAAATTCATTATTAAAATTTTAGGGGAATACTAATAATTATCATAAATATGTAACAAAAAAAAAAAATCATGCTAAATAAGTATTTTTATCCCTTATGGACTGCCAAGAAGTAAGTATGCTGAAAGTGTAATTTGTGTTAAATAATTCAGCCTTTAGAGATTGGCTAATAATAATAATAATAATAATATGTGTTAAAGTATTAATCTTTTCTTTTATTTTAATAAATTCTTTAATATTTATAAAGTGTTTTTTATTTTAAAAAGAAAAAGTCATTTTCCTTTTATTACTTCAACTTTTCTGTAATTTTCTTTTGATTTATCTTTTTTTTTTTTTTTTTTTTTTTTTTTTTTTTTTTTTTTTTTTTTTTGAAAGGCTGTTGATTTAAGTGTACCAAACAGTCGAAAACACACAAAATGGGAGCCTAAAATAAAGTTTGGAATCAATCAATACAAATTAGTCAGAATGCTTTTGACTCTTAGCAACTTGTAGGATACAACAATTATAATATCTATAAGCTTTCTTTATTTTTATTATTATTATAATTCTAGTTGGGGTTAGCGTTTTGTCTCATTATGGAATAGAACTCCGATAAATGGGTGGTAGGTCTTCCTGCATTATCCAAGTTATCAGCACTATCAAAGTCTTTGCTTGATGGTTTCAATGGCAATGGAGTTTCGCGTTCTTCCAACCTTAGCTTTACTCTCCGTAAGCATTATATATAGTAATCTGCACTTTCTTCTACAGAAAAATCGAAGCTTTACATTTAACCAGTATAAGCTTTTTTTTTCCTGCGTAAATAAAACTCTGACTAAAGAAGTAAAGTAATGAAAATTTTAATGGCAGGTGGTGGTAATAGGAACATCTAATGCTGCTCTACCTGCTGAAGTGTATTGGCATTCCAAGTTGCCAAACACTCCTATCCCACAAGATCTTCTGAGTCTTCTTCAGCCCGGTTTGTTCTCATTTCAATATTTCTCTAGAAACGTTATTCATTGCTCTTATTAGTAGAAGTTTCGTGTCATTGCAGCAGATCATCTCATAGCAGATCTGCTGTAAGTAAAAGCATTTATAATTTATGCTTACGAGGCTAATACTTTATTTTCTAATTCAGCATCTGATTTTCTGACATATTGGGTGATTTGACTTTGAAAAAACATTAGCACGCGACTCACATACAGAAGCAATACACCTAACCTGAGCTTGACACTGGGACATTCCCTCTCTTCTTCAATTTTACAAAAGAGAAAAAAAATAAAAAATAAAAAATAAAAAAGATGCATTTGGGATAGAAATGTTTGAAAAATAACGTAGTTTAACTTGGATATTCGTTTTACGTGCGTCGCTCTAGTGCATGATAATTTACATGTCATATGCTTTTGGAAGAGCTATATATTAGTTTTTAGAACAAAAGACCCTTCATTATAATAATCCTTTTTTTTTTTTTTTTTTTTTTCCTTCTTAAATAATCCTTTTTTTTTTTTTTTTTTTTGGAAGAATTATTAGGTAAATCTTTGTTAACCAAAGCATGAGTTGGTTAAAGAATTATTTTTTTTTTTTTTTTTTTTTTTTGGAAGAATTATAGTAATCTTTGTTAACCAAAGCATGAGTTGTTAAAGAATTATTATGCAATGCCTGTGTATGTCTTACCATCTTACCAGTTCTTGTAAGTCCTTGAAGGTTTCTTTTCTTATCTTTTTCTTTTATTAGCAATGCATTCAGATACGGGAGATAAGTCCATTTTTTGGGACATGGGCTTGGCGGATAAGACTTATGATGATAGACGAGAAAAATATGGAAAGCGTTATGATACCACTTTTAAAGAAAGCGTAGATGACAGAAGGGAGAAGTATGGCAAGCGATATGAAAATGCTTTTGAGGAAAACATCGAAGACGGAAGGGAAAAGTATAAGCGCTACGGAGATCCTTTTGAGGAAAACACTGAGGACGGGAGGGAAAAGTATAAGCGCTATGGAGATCCTTTGGAGGAAAACACTGAGGACAGGAGGGAAAAGTATAAAAGATACGAGGAGAAATTCCATAAACATAATCTTCCTAGCTCAACTGTGTTTTTTGTATATAATGATCTTCATGCAGGGAAGAAAATGAAAGTTCATATAACAAAATCTACAAACAAAGCTAGAATCTTGCCTCGTCAAGTTGCTGATTCTATACCTTTCTCAACTGATAAATTGTCAGAAATTTTTCAACGTTTCTCTGTAGACCCTGAATCACGCCAAGGCAAAGTGATGAAACAAACTATAGTGGATTGTGAGTCACCTGGTATTAAAGGAGAAGAAAGATATTGTCCCACTTCTTTAGAGTCTTTGATTGATTTTAGTGTCAAACATGTCGGCAATAAAGCTCAAGTTCTTTTTAATCAGGTAGATGAACCCAAAAGAGTTCAAGAGTACACAATCATGGATGTCAAATTCATGGGAGAAAATCATGTAGTGTGCCACAAGCAGAAATATCCATATGCTGTGTATTATTGTCATGCACTAAATGGCACTAAAGTTTATACAGCTCCATTGGTTGGCGCTGATGCTACTAAAGTCAAAGCAGTGGCTATTTGCCATTCAGACACATCTGATTGGAGCCCAGGACACTTGGCCTTTTTACTCCTCAACATGAAGCCCGGCGAAGGGACAATTTGTCACTTCATTAGAAGTGATACGCTTGTTATGTTATCCACTAATGAAAATACTGGAAAAAATTAACCTCCAATGGTACCAATCTTCTTGGTCGTGCTTAGAGTTTAAGCTTGCTTTCTAGTTGTACTACTACCTATGCTAAGTTTCGCAATAAGCCAATGTTTTTTAAGTGCCAACCTTTGTATTAGAACTTGCTCAACATTTGTGCCTATCTATTGTATGTTGATCCAGTATATATATATTCAGTATGCGTTGAGCTTTAGATTTCATGCAATATATATTATATTTATTATTAATTTTTTATTGAAATTAAAAAACATATGAGGAAATAAAATATTACTGAAGTTTTTAGTATTTGCTGGTGAGCAATCCCACCCCACTTGGCAGTGTGCAATTCTTATACTTTATCGAATTAAATTCACATTTCAACTTTAATTAATTGATTCCTTGAAATATAATTTCTAAAACTACCTAACAAATTCTTTTTTTTTTTTTCTTAAAAGTACCTAACTAAAAAAAATTACTAGTCAAACAGAGAGAAACGCTATTAATTAATTTGGATAGAACTTTAATTTAAAAAGGTCGTTGCAAATAACCTTTTTATTGATTTTCAATAACTAATATTTATTTAGTTGAGATACTAATATATAAATTGATAAAAATTAACACTTTTTTTTTAAAAAAAAATAGCAAATAAAGTGGAAGAAATAGTACGCCAAAAATTAAATTATTATTTATGGCTGAGAGGCTGGGAATTAATGGATAATATAACATAGTGATAAGAGTTTTTACCTATTTATTATTATATTATATTATATAATGATAATATAATATAATATAATGAATTAATCGGGAAAGAGACTTTTACCTACTTATTATTAGCACTACTTTATCTTTATATCATATAATGATAAGGTTGAACAAGTGTATCTATTGTTGAATTTAATTAAAGTCCAACTAAATTTTTGTGTAAGCCACACTCTCACATCCTTGATTATAGTGGCATTTTGATATTTCACGTTTATTATAAAATTTATTTAATTTGTCTAAATTATAATAAATTATTAACTGAATTAAATATATTATTATTAATTTATTATTTGATTGAAAATAATTCAATCATTATAAATATAACTGGGTTAAAGCTTGTAATCAAAACTCATCACTTCCGACAAACAAGCTCTAAATGTCAATTATATAAAAGGGAAAAATGAAAAAAATAATTAATTATCTCAATTTTAATGTTTTATTTTGACTTATATTTAAATTTTACCAATGCTCGGTTACTTTGCTTCAGTTACGTTTTAGAATAAAATAAATCAAAGTAAATATATTAGTTTAACATATACAAAATTTTTAATATTTATTTATCAAAATTTGGTCAGTTTAATTCTTTTAATTTAGTCTTCTAAATTATTTAAGTAATTTTGATTGGACTCTGTTTTGATTGGACTCTGTTTAAATTGACTTTTATTTTATAAAATTATTTTTAATTTCGAGAAAATCTAAATCAAATCGATCCGATCTTAATTCTAATTATGCTAAAATTATTTTTATTCATTGGGAAAAGAATTTATAATTATAATTACAATTTATCATGAAATTTATTTTAATAAATTTATTAATTTTTAATATATATATATAGTTATTAAATATTTTATAGATTAATTAGATCACGCTTCGATTTTGAACCTCCATTTTCACGGGATTGATGATCGGGCGTACTATAAAATAACGTGATATTGTACAAATGTGAAAGGGCAAGAATCCGGTAAGAAAAGAACCATATTCTTATCTCATCCAAATTCAAAATTGATGTTCGACAACGTGGCACGACCGAGAGGATAAGAGTCCTGGCAAACCTCACTTATTATGGTGTATTATATAATATAATTTTTATTTATTTTTTACATAAATGACCATGTGCAGGGTAGGTACCATTATCGCTTTCTTTCCTTTGCATTTTCTTTTTCCATCTTCGCAAAAGACCAGAATTGGAAGAAGGTACTGCTAAAATAAATTGTGGTTTCGGTCACCGGCTACCATTAATTGATGTAACTGTAAATACAATAATTAAAATAATTGTAAATTATATTTTTATTCAAGTATTTTCACATAATTAACTAATTTAATCTTATAACATAATTTTATTCGTGTAGTTTGAACCCGGAGAACGAAATTATCTTTCCATTTATCATTTGATATGTCTAGTAATTATGTAATTACAAAACGAATCTTATATACATATTAACTAAAAGGAAAATGTTTACATTTTTGTCCTTAAGTTTTGATATAATTAATTATATGTTTTATATTTTAAAAATTATGCTATTTTATTTTTATAGTTTGGTTCCGTTAATGACTTAAGTTTCAAATAATGGATAGAAAGTTAATTTCGTTTAATGAAGAAAAACTATAAGAATAAAATAATGCAATTTTTAAAATAAACATATGGATTATAAAAAAATGTAATTCGTTAATAGTAATATCAAAAATTACAAATAAACATATGGATTATAAATAGAACTTTAGTAACTAATAGAGTTCACTGATCTTCTAACGAAATAAAAGAATTCATGTCATTTTGAATAATGAAATTAAAACTAAAAAAATATGATATTAGATCTTTCCTCTTGAAGTTAATCTTGACAAAAGATATAAATTTTTATAGCAGTGTAACTAGTCTGTTAATTGATTTGGACGTCAAAATAATAATTCCTCTGAATTTTCTATAACTTGATTACTTTTCTAATAATTTGCAACATATGACGAATATAAATGAATTTCCGCCGTGGCTATGCGTCGATAGTATTAATGGAAGAACATGTCGCACTACTAGGCTCTATCGATCGAAGATCTGTACCTACAAATCAAGATCTAATGTCTCCAACCAAATAAAATTATATATCATAATTTTGTTTACTAATAAACCCTTATATAAAAAAAAAAAGATAAGAAAAACTCTAAATATGGAGACAACCAACCATAATAAAGTAAAAAAATAGATCTATTATAAGGAAATAAAGCTGAGTTTATTGAAGGAAAAGAAGATTAAAAACAAAAAAAAAAAAATGAAGGGGAAAAGATACTAGAAAGTATGAGGTAGGGGCTACCGCTGATAAATAACGGCAGTGCTAAACTAGATTTAGAATTAAAAACTAGAGAGAAAAGAGAAAGAGATTTATACACGAAAAAGATAATTAAGTATATCAAAATGTAAGGATAAAAAATATATTTTTCTCTTAAAAATAATAAACCGTTATATAAGTGCCTATAATGCTTAGTCTAAGGTTTAGACATTTTTTTCTTTATTCTGTCATTCGATACTATATTCTAATAAGTATTATGACAATGATTACAATAATTTCAAAATTCATTAATGACAGTAAAGTCATTATAAAACCCTTTGAATATAATGCAATTCAGGAAAGTGAGTGTATAAATTAGAATCACATATCTGCATGACTTGGACGTGTATTAATTATTTTCTCCGCATTCATACAAATTATTGGAGTCTATGTGTACAGCAAATCTCACATATAATATTTTATTAAAATATAAATATAAATTTATTAATTTTTCTTGTATCGATCCGAAAGAAAAATCTCGAAGATTTGCTGTACACATTTCTCACTCTATGAATTTGTCTGTTAGGGAGATGAGCGGTGCAGTGATATCCATAATCATTTATCACGTGAAACGCGTACGTTCTCTTTTATTAAATTAAAAAAAAAAAAGACTGAGTCCATAATTTTATTTATAAATTAAATAAATAAAATTGAAAAATTTTAAAAGTATTCCTATTTTATTTTTTAAAATATATAATCAGATATAATTCTTTTTAACTGTAATTTTTAATTTTACTGTTTTAATTCTAAAATGGATTTATTTTCACAATTTAAAATCTTAGTCCTTATAAGTCAATTATTAAATATAGAGGTCAATTACAATAGATCACATTTTTTCACAATTTTCTTTAACATTTTACTTGTATTTTAATGCTATTTTATTGTTAATTTGAACGCTAACGTAAGCGCGGAATTTTTCTATAATATTTAGTAGCAACTGAATAATTTTTAATTTCAAAATTAGTTGTTAGTCTCTCTTTATTTCGGTCATTATATTTTTAATTACATATATGCATATTTTATTTTTAATCGACTCAATTTTATGGACATTTTTTTTTCCTTTATCCCTTTGGAAAAATTGTACTATATATTATATTATATTATTATTATCTTAAAATAAATTTCAGATCACTGTCTATAGCAAGAGAAACTTTAGGTCACGTGACAATCTGACAAAATATTAATATTAATTTGATGAACCATGAACGCAATGAATGGTCACGTGATCCCTGGTGCGGTGTCAGTGTCACGATTATTCTTCTTTTTCTAAAAATAATTATGACATTTCTTTTTATCCACCTTTGAAATGTCTCATTTATCACGTGAAAATGTGTACGGTCTCACTTTAGATGCCGTCCATTCATCAATTTCGGCCCCACTTATCCTTATCACCTTATGGATAATGGATCAATGGTTAAGAAAAAAAAATATATATAAAAATTTCCTCAAAATTCGTTGATTTGTGAGTTATATAGTAACGGATAGCTCTCTCTACGATTTGTTAAATGACATGAAAACTCCTTTGATCGGTCCACTTGAATATAACATCTTTTATTCTCCACGTAATAATTTTATTTAATCTTTAAAATTATTAAAATATACTAATGTAAAAAATATTTTTAAAAAAAATAATATTCCTTTCATTTTACTTTAATTGAGATAAATTATCATTATATTTTGTTTTACTTTCAACTCTCATTTAGAATTTTAAAAATATACTAATGTTTTTTTTAATTATCTATATTTATTAGGTGTAGTTTATTTTATGTTTATATTTATTTTTTTCTTTTATTTTTTTCATTACTTTTAATTATAGTTAAATTAAAATTTTGATTATATATATAATTAAAAGTTTTTATTATACGGAAGAAAATACTTCTTTTAAATGTGCGCTTTCATACGAGATAACAACAAAAAGTAGAGGGTAGTAAGGGACAATCCAGTCGATGTCAGAGTGCGAGGAGGGAGTGGGGACCATTTCTTTTCTTTTCTTTTTTAATTTTTTTGCGGAAATGGACCACACGGGTGAAATAGCCAATGGTCCCTTGCCCATTTTCAAAAGCCAATATGTTCGCAATACTGACCCGATACATTAAATTAGTTTTTGGTAATAGCATCCGATATTGATAATTTAACAAAAAAAATATATACTGAATTCACGTTTGGATTGGTGGAAAAAAATTAGGAAAAATAATAAATAAAGTTTTTTTCTTTGTTTGCGACGAAATGGAGAAAATACGAGGGAAAAGTAAATACTGTGTTCACACGTATTCGATGAAAAATAATTAAAATTATAATTTTATCTGTATTATTGTACCTTCATATATAAAAAATAAAAAATCTAACTGTTCGTAGAAATAAATCCAACCCACCTTGTCCAAATCAAAGTTTCAAGATAGTTCATTTTGTTTTAGAAAATCAAACTGTTTAGATTTAGAAATGAACTGATCTATCAAAAATTAAAAAAAAAAACAGATCGAACCCACCTGATTCAATTTAATTTGATTTCTACAATAATCTTAATTTGATTCAATTTATCCTGAAAATTTTACAATTCTACACGGCGGTTCGATTGGATTTAAAGTCGATTTGGACCATTTGCTTACCCTTAGTCCTGTTTCAAAAAATACTTTGTCTCAACTGGTTTGAGGTTTTATTATTTAAATTTTTAATATAGTTGTGAATATTAAAGAATATCGACGGCATACATTAATAAATTAGAGTAATAGCCATAGGATCGGATGGCTAACAAAATATGATGTATAAAATAAGCTTAAAAATAAAATATTAATCCAACGGCTAAATTTGCTGACTCGTCGATGGTGACCATGTGCTATGAGCTATTGATGTACTAAATGAATGGACTTTTCCTGATCCAACGGCTGATGATTATAATATCTAATCTGATTGGTATTCATAGCCGCCGGCAATAATGCTCTTTCTCTACAAATCTAAACAATGGTTGAAATTTGAGTAATTAAACGAGGCAAAGCGTACTTATATTAAATTAAAGAATATTTATTTTGTGAATTAGGTGGTGGTCTGGTTGGTCTTTTCACTTATATTAGGAATGAGTTCGAGACCTCTCGATCACAGTTGTTTTTACCAATTTGATGAGCCCAAGGGGAGAACTACCCCTAATTGTATAGTCCGCAGTATTATTTCGGCTTATAAACGCCTCTAGTGAATTAAAAAATATATTGATTTTACTTTAAATGACTTAATTATTTTTTAATTATCATATAAAATTTTAAATCACAAATAAAAGTGGATCGAAAGAATATTAAATAATCTATATTATTCTATTATAATTAAATGACTATATACTAATCTAAATTTAATTTTTTAATATAAGAATCAAGGCCATCAAAGTCATAAACTTGACTAATAATCGGAGATAATACAAATAGCTTTATTAATAAAAATACACATAAAATAAGAGTACTGGAATATAAATCCCAACAATTATTTTTTTTTTTCTAAAAAAAGGATATATAACCATAATCTGAAATTAAAAAAAAACGGACAAAAACAATAAAACGGAGGGAGTATTTCAAACTACCTTAATCATGTTCTAATGTCTAATCATAATCCTTTTTCTTTTTCTTTGTTTTTTTATCAACCTTTCTTCAACCAATATCACATTATTGATTCTGTTAATCTTTGCTATCTATTTTAACAATCAAAATATAAATCTTTTCTTTTATTTTAATAAATTTTTTAATATTTGTTGAGAATCTAGGCCTAGGAGCAGTTAATCGAATCAAATTCAATTATTTATTTAATATTGGGCTTATAATGAGTTGGACTTACCTTTAACACAAAATGGCCTAAGCCATTTTGGTTGGTTCACCCTTGGACCTTTGACCTTCTAACACCAAATTGGCTAAGCCATTTTTTCGGTTGGCTTTCACCCTTCACCTCTATATGTCCTTTTAGTTTAGTTGTATTTTATCCAATGTGGGCATTTACCCACGGGTATATTCAACAATATTTCATAACATATTTTTCCTTTAAAATAAAAGTAATTTCATTTCCTTTTATTATTTTTCTTAAGTGTACCCCACTAGAACAACACACAGGACATCGGAGGCCACAAAAAAAAAAAAAAAAAAGAAAAAAAAAAAAAAAAAAAGTTAGGAATCAATCAATAAAAATTTATCAGAATGAATTTTCGACACGTAGCTACTTGTAGCGTACATCAATTATAACGTCTCTTGGCTTTCCTTTTCATTATTATTAGCATTTTCTCCCATTATGGAATAGAAGTCCTATAAATAGGTGATAGGTCTTCCTCCATTACCGCACAAGTTATCAGCATTATCAAAGTGTTTGATTGATGGTTTCAAAGGCAATGGAGTTTCGCGTCCTTGTGACCTTAGCTTTACTCTCTGTAAGCATTATAGTAATCTCTTCTTTCTTTTACGCAAAAAAGAAAATCGAAGCTTCACCTTTAGCCAGTTTTAGCTTTAGTTAAAACTCTGATCAAAAGAAAAAAAACGTGGGTTTGATATATAATGGAAATTTTAATGACAGGTGGTGGTAATAGGAACATGTAATGCTGCTTTACCTGCTGAGGTGTATTGGCATTCCAAGTTGCCAAACACTCCTCTTCCACAAGATCTTCTGAGTCTTCTTCAGCCAAAAGAAAAAAAACGTGGGTTTGATATATAATGGAAATTTTAATGACAGGTGGTGGTAATAGGAACATGTAATGCTGCTTTACCTGCTGAGGTGTATTGGCATTCCAAGTTGCCAAACACTCCTCTTCCACAAGATCTTCTGAGTCTTCTTCAGCCCGGTTTCTTTCTCATCTTAATATTTCTCTACTAACATTATTCATTGCTCTTATTAGTAGAAATTTCGTGGGCATTGCAGCAATACGGGTTAAAGTATTTTTCTGCAGATCAATATATTTCTTTTTTACCCCTCCACTGGAGAGCAGATCAAATATAATGCTTTTATAGATAATATACTACCTTTTTTTTATTTTATAATATATGGGTTTAAGGTTGTAGATCAGCCTTTTTTTCATGTTTTTTAAAAATTTATTAATTAGTAAATATTTATCTTTTATTTTTAAGTTAAAGAACATTAATCAATATTAATATATTTTATTTGATGGATCATCTCTTAGTTTGTGTTGTAAGTAAAAGCCTTCAACATTTATGGTCATGAGGCTAATATTTTATTTGACTTTTTGACATATTGGACGATTGACTTTGAAAAAACTTTTGCACGCGGCTCACTGACAGAAGCAAGATATCTAACCTGAACTTGATACTGGGACACTCCCCACTCTCCCTCCCTCTCTCTATCCCTTCTTCAAGTTTAGAAAAGAGATAAATAAAAAATAAAAAATAAAAACGATGCACTTTTAGCAAAGAAATGTTTCAGAATAATGTAGTTTAACTACGTAGCTTTTGGTTTCGACATTGATCGACAACATGTTACATGCTTTTGGATGAACTTAGTTTTTAGAACAGAAGACCCTTCATCATAACAATCTGTCTTTATGTCCTTCAAGAATTACTGTAATCTTTGTTTACCAAAGCTTAAGTTTTTAAAGAATTATTCTTCAATGCGTTGGTATGTCTTTTCAGTTCTGGTAAGTCCTTGAATGTTTCTTTTTCTTATTTTTTCTTTTATTTGCAATGTATTCAGATATGGGAGACAAGTGCACCTTTTGGGACATGGGCTTGGCGGATAAAACTTTTGATGATGGAAGAGAAAAATATGGAAAGCGTTATGATGTTGCTTCTACAGAAAGTGTAGATGATAAGAGAGAAAAATATGGAAAACGATATGAAAATGCTTTTGAAGGTGTAGATGATAGGAGGGAGAAATATGGAAAGCGATATGAAAATGGCTTTGATGAAGGTATGGAGGACAAAAGGGAGAAATATGGCAAGCGATATGAAAACGCTTTTGTTGAAGGTGTAGATGACAGGAGAGAGAAATATGGGAAGCGATACGAAAATGCTTTTGATGAAGGCATGGAAGATAGAAGGGAGAAATATGGCAAGGGATACGAAAATGCTTTCATCGAAGGTGTAGATGACGAGAGGGAGAAATATGGAAAACGTTATGATGCTGCTTTTCAGGAGGGAATGGATGATAGAAGAGAGAAATATGGCAAAAGATATGAAAATGCTTTTGAAGAGGGAATGGACGATAAGAGGCAGAAATATGGGAAGAGATATGAAAATGCTTTCAGTGAAAGTGTAGATGATAGGAGGGAGAAATATGGGAAGAGATATGAAAATGCTTTTGAAGAAAGTGTGGATGATAGAAGAGAGAAATATGGAAAGAGATATGAAAATAAGTGTAGATGATAGGAGGGAGAAATATGGGAAGAGATATGAAAATGCTTTCAGTGAAAGTGTAGATGATAGGAGGGAGAAATATGGGAAGAGATATGAAAATGCTTTTGAAGAAAGTGTGGATGATAGAAGAGAGAAATATGGAAAGAGATATGAAAATGCTGTCAGTGAAAGTGTAGATGACAAAAGGGAGAAATATGGGAAGAGATACGAAAATCCTTTTGAAGAAAGTATAGATGATAGAAGAGAAAAATATGGAAAGCGGTATGAAAATGCTTTTGAAGAAGGTACGAATGACAGGAGGGAGAAATATGGGAAGCGATATGAAAATGCTTTTGAAGAAAGTGTAGATGACAAAAGAGAAAAATATGGAAAGCGGTATGAAAATGCTTTTGAAGAAAGTGTAGATGACAAAAGAGAAAAATATGGAAAGCGGTATGAAAATATGAAAATGCTTTTGAAGAAAGTGTAGATGACAAAAGAGAAAAATATGGAAAGCGATACGAAAATGCTTTTGAAGAAGGTACGAATGACAGGAGGGAGAAATATGGGAAGCGATATGAAAATGCTTTTGAAGAAGATACAAATGACAGGAGGGAGAAATATGGAAAGCGATATGAAAATGCTTTTGAAGAAAATGTGGATGACAGAAGAGAAAAATATGGAAAGCGTTATGATAATGCTTTTAAGGAAAACACGGAAGACAAAAGGGAAAAATATGGAAAAAGATATGAAAAGAAATCTCATAAACATAATTTCCCTAACTCAACTGTGTTCTTTATATATAATGATCTTCATGCAGGGCAAAAAATGAGACTTCATGTAACAAAATCTACAAACAAAGCTAGAATCTTGCCTCGTCAAGTTGCTGATTCCATACCTTTCTCAACTGATAAGTTGTCAGAAATTTTTCAACGTTTCTCAGTAGACCCTGAATCAAGCCAAGGGAAAGTCATAAAACAAACTGTAGAGGATTGCGAGTCACCTGGTATTAAAGGAGAAGACAGATACTGTCCCACTTCTTTAGAGTCTTTGATTGATTTTAGTGTTAAGCATGTTGGGAATAAAGTTCAAGTTCTTTTTAATGAGATAGATGAACCCAAAAGAGAGCAAGAGTACACAATCATGGATGTCAAATTCATGGGAGAAAATCATGTAGTGTGTCACAAGCAGAAATATCCGTATGCTGTATATTATTGCCATGCACTAAATGGCACTAAAGTTTATACAGCTCCGTTGGTGGGCGCTGATGGTACTAAAGCCAAAGCAGTGGCTGTTTGCCATTCAGACACATCTGCTTGGAATCCAGGACACTTGGCCTTTTTACTCCTCAACATGAAGCCCGGAGAAGGGACAGTTTGTCACTTTATTAGAAGTGATACGCTTGTTATGGTATCTATTGATGAAAATATTGAAAAAACCTCCAGTGATACCAATCTTCTTCGTCATGCTTAGAGTTTAAGCTTGCATTTTAGTTGTACTAGTACCTATGCTAAATTTCGCAATAAGCCACTTTTTTAAGTGACAATCTTTGTATTTGTGTAACATGCTCAGCATCATATGTTGCTCCATATGTAAAGTTAGTATATTGCACTACAATGTTCTGCTTAATTAAATTTATTGAGAGTTTAGTGCACTTGTTTCTCGTGGACATCTTAAATAATTCCAATTTATGACTAAAATGTGAAATATGAGCTCGACTATATACTAGAACAAACAATTTTAAATTAATTTGATCATTATTTTAAATTAAGCGCTTAAATCCTTAAAAAAAAAAAAAAAAAAAAAAAAAAATTTAAATATAATTTTGATCATTATTTTTAAATTAAAGCCGCTTTAAATCCTTAAATAAAAAAAAAAAAAAAAAAAAAAAAAAAAAGCCGCTTCAAACGCCTGCCAAACCAAATTGAAGAAAGCCCCAAATCCCATTGAGGGCCCACTTGAAATCTATCGTATCCGTTATGATATTAAAATGTGGTTTTAATCTGAGCGAGGTAATTGCGATCAAAAGCGCCAAATTAGAGATTGAGACTTAGCGTATCTTTTAACACGGTGGAAGGAAAACGAGGCAAGGACAATTACGTGGACGTTTTTGTCTTCGTTGTAGAGAATCGACGGAGTACAGTAATTAAGAAAAAAAAGTTTAATTTGTCCTGTTTGCCAGATTGGCCTGTGCCACGTTGATATTCATTTACTTTTATACTGGCAAAACCACGCAAAAAAATTCCTTCCAGATCCAGTGTTGTGAAATACATAAAATTTACATCAAATTATAAAATTAATCTATGTGACTTTATGAATAAAAATTATTATATACACTTTTAAGTAATAATCTATCTATCATTATAGTATATATATACTATTACTATGTATACATATTTCAATTCTACTTTTATTTGTAAAAATTAAATAAATTTCATATTTTTAGTATGGATGGAGACTTCATACACCTTAATTGTCTGATTAATTTCGACTTCATATTATACTCTCTTACGGTAATGAATTGACAAAAAATATCGCTATTTTAATATCTATTATTATTTTAATTATTTGAACTAATAATTTAGTGCTATGTATACATATTTCAATTCTATTTTATTTGTAAATTAAATAAATTTCATATTTTTAGTATGGATGGAGACTTCTACACCTTATTGATTGATAATTTGACTTCATATTTACTCTCTTAGGTAATGAATTGACAAAAAATATTCCTATTTAATATCTATTATTTTAATATTTGAACTATAATTTAGTGATTAAATGAAAAAATGTAGAGAAATCCATTGGATCAGCCACAAGGATGACATGTTAGGATACCGGCAATAAAATTACGAGAATAATTAAGCAGCGGAAAAATAGAAATGGGATACACAGAAATTTACGTGGTTCACCTTCAACTGTTTTAGGGCTACGTCCACGGGACAAACTCCGAATAATTCTTCCACTATTAAAACAATAGTAGGTACACAAAGAGAGTAATACAAAAAATATTGGCATACAAGTGTTTTCCAAAAACACCCGAAAACAATCCTCACTATTTTTCTCTCCCCACGGTTTAGGATACTAATCCTAAACGCTAACACTCTCTCTCGCTACATTTTTCTCTTTCTGCTGTGTGCGACAACTGAGGAAAATCCTCCCCTATTTATAGGAGAGGAAATGTGAGTTACACACGGCTCTTCATTTAGATTGGTTGCCAACCTTCTGCCAACCTCATTAAATAATACTTTTTTTTTTCTTTTCAAATTTATCGTGGGTTCCACTTGAGTGGGCACCGCACAACACGACAATGGCAATAAATGGCTGGATGGAGGTGACAGGACGACCATGGATGCGATAGAGTAGGATTGAAGGCTATCGCACTGGATGTATGCATGGAGATGGAAGAGAGAAATTGTGGGGCAATATTCCTAAATGGAGCAAAATAAAAAAAAAAATGTAAATTCTTTTTTAAATACGGCTCAAGAAACCCTCATCTTCTTTCGCTGTTTCTCAAGTAAAAATTTATTCTAACATTTTACGAATAATATCTGTAAATTCATTTTGGATCTACCAAAAGAAAGATCTATTGTCAATGAATGAGTTACAGACTATTGACTAACGTATCAAATATAATTATGGCGCGTCTTGTTTGGTTTTGTTTTGTTTTTTTTTTTTTTTAAATTAAGTATGCACATTTTATTTTTAACCTACTCAAATTTTTAAGGTGCATGAGCAGTTTTTCCTCATTTTCCTTTTCAAATTATATAATATATTATATTCTATTATTGTATATTAAAATAAAATTTTCTCTTTTTCCTTTGCAGATTTATTTTGGGTAGGAAAAATAAATCTCACTATCAGCTTAACCAAACAAAAAAAAGATCAGCTTAACCAAACCCATCGAAGCCCATTAAATCTATGGTATTGCATTAGCATATGATATTAAAATGTCGTTTATCTCGTCTGAGTAATTTGATCAAAACCCAAATTAGAGATAAGCATAGCGTATCTTTACTTGGAAGGAAACGACAAGAAAATACGTGACTTTTTTTGTCTTGTTGTAGAGAATAGACGAAGTCACTAAATCAAAAGGCAATGGGATGACTCGAAGAATTGTAATCGCAGGAGTATTCTGAGTGAGCCCCACCTGGCTTCACATGGGCCCCTAGTACGCTTCAGGTTGACAGAGTAACAGATTCCGCCCATGCAGGTTGACACGGAGGCCACCCATGCAAGGTAAAAACACCAATTTGGAGTTAAACAATATTTTTAGAGTATTGTCCAAGACTGAGATTGTTAACTGAATATGGAAGTTTGACCTAGGTCTCAGCAACTTAGACACCCAATTTTGTATTATTAAGAACAGAACTCCTATAAATGAGTGGTACGTCTTCCTGCATTTTCCAAGTTATCATAGTGTTTGCTTGATGGTTTCAATGGAGTTTCGTTTCGTTGCAACCCTAGCTTTACTCTCTGTAAGCATTCTTTTTTAGAAAATCGAAGCTTTAACTATAACCATTTTTACGTTTTCCCTTTTTTTTTTTTTTTTTTTTTTTTTTAACCATTTTTACGTTTTCCCTTTTTTTTTTTTTTTTTTTTTTTTTTAAGTAAGTTTTTGAAAACTTTGATGGCATTTTTTTTTTTTTTTTTTTTTTTTTAAGTAAGTTTTGAAACTTTGATGGCAGGTGGTGGTGATAGGAAGTAATGCTGCTCTACCTGCTGAGGAGTATTGGCATTCGAAGTTGCCAAACACTCCTATCCCACAAGATCTTCTAAATCTTCTGCAGCCTGGTTTGTTTTAGACTAAATAGTAACTTTCCCATCTTAATATTATAGATTTCCAAATAATAATAACTTGGCATGGAAATAATAAGCCACGGAATTACATTTCCAGCATTCAAATGCTTCGCTGATAGAATTGCAAGCGGTTTCGAATTCGGACCTGATAATTTTTTTCTCCAAACGTTTCCGAGTTAACAAAAGAAGGGCATTGACAAATATATTATTCATTTCTCATCATTAGAAATTTCATGGACCTGATAATCATCGAACATTTCTTTTCATTTTTGGGAACTGTTTTTTAAGAACAGAAGAACTTACATTGTAATAACATTTGTTAATTATAGCTTATAAGTTTCAAATTGAATTAATATGTGTACCTTAACTTGGTTGCTTTTTCTGGCTATTGGAAGCAGGTGGCAAAGATAAAAATACCTTTTGGGATATGGGCTTGAAGCAGTCCGAATATGGTGTGGATGATAGGAGGGAAAAATATGGAAAAAGATATGAGAATGCTTTTGAGGAAGGTGTGGACGATAGGAGAGAAAAATATGGAAAAAGATATGAGAATGCTTTTGAGGAAGGTGCAGATGATAGAAGAGAAAAATATGGAAAAAGATATGAGAATGCTTTTGAGGAAGGTGTGAGGAAGGCTGTAGCCATGGATAGGAGAGAAAAATATGGAAAAGACTTATGAGAATGCTTTTGAGGAAGGTGCAGAATGATAGAGAGAAAATATGGAAAAAGATATGAAAATGCATTTGAGGAAGCTGTGGATGATAGGAGGGAAAAATATGGAAAAAACGATATGAAAGAAAAATTTTCATAAACATAATTCTCCCTAATTCAACTGTGTTTTTGTTTTATACATGATCCTCCATTATTCAAAGCCCGAACAAATGAAAACTTCAGTTCTTATAACTTATAGAAGAGAAAAATATGGAAAAAGATATGAAAATGCATTTGAGGAAGCTGCAGATGATAGAAGAGAAAAATATGGAAAAAGATATGAGAATGCTTTTGAGGAAGGTGCAGATGATAGAAGAGAAAAATATGGAAAAAGATATGAAAATGCATTTGAGGAAGCTGTGGATGATAGGAGGGAAAAATATGGAAAAAGATATGAAGAAAAATTTCATAAACATAATCTCCCTAATTCAACTGTGTTTTTTGTTTATAATGATCTCCATATCAACCGAAAAATGAAACTTCATATAACTAAATCAACAAACAAAGCTAGAATCTTATCTCGTCAAGTTGCTAATTCCATACCTTTTTCAACTGATAAATTTTCAGAAATTTTAAAGTGTTTCTCTGTAAAACCTGAATCACAACAAGCCAAAGTCATAAAACAAACTATAGAAGATTGTGAATCACCAGGCATTAAAGGAGAAGATAGGTATTGTGCCACTTCTTTAGAGTCTTTAGTCGATTTCAGTGTTAAACATGTTGGGAATAAAACTCAAGTCCTTTTCAACGAGATAGATAAACCGAAAAAAGAGCAAGAGTATACGATCATGGATGTCAAATTTATTGGAGAAAATCATATAGTGTGTCACAAGCAGAAATATCCATATGCTGTGTATTATTGCCACGCACTCAATGGCACTAAAGTTTACACCGCTTCGGTGGTGGGTGCTGATGGTACTAAGGCTAAAGCAGTAGCTGTTTGCCATTTTGATACCTCTTCTTGGAATCCAGGACACTTGGCCTTCTTGCTCCTCAACATGAAGCCAGGGGAAGGAACTGTCTGTCACTTTATCAGAAGTGATACACTTGTTGTGGTCTCTAATAACTAAATTAGAGTTTAAGCATACTCTGTAGTTGTACTTGTAACTGTGCTACTTTTCTCAATAATGCACTCTTTTTAAGTGGCAATCTCTGTTAATCTATATGCAAGGTTAGTGCTATGTCGTATAACGAAATGCTGTGGTTATATTTCTTTTAAGTTTTCCTGCACTTGTGGACATCTCAAATAATTCCAAATTATTTTCTTTTCAATTAAATATTATGAGCTGTTATTTTTATTTTATGAATTAATTAATCACATCCATATATTATATTAGAACTTAAATATTTTCTTTCACAAAAAAAATTTATTATTTAAACTAAATAGACTTATGAAAACACACGTTGTTCAATGAGAGTGACATGTAGATTCTCAAACTTAAAGTGTGCGAGATATGATATTTTTATATCCGGCGCATAGAATTGTCCATATATCAAATCAAATCAAAATGAGTATTTTAAAAATTATTATTGTTTTTTTCCCTGTACATAGTAAAAAATACTCTCATTTTATTCGAAAAATTATTTTTGATTAGTTTAGTATATGAAATCGATCTATTCAATGGATGTAGATAAATTTTTTTCATTGTGTAAGCCTCAATTTATATATATACATATAGTACTCAATAAGGTGGAGGTAAAAGGATGATGCTGCATTCCAAGTTGCCAAACACTCCTATTCCACAAGCCTATAACAAGGAAAATGCAAGAAGGAAAATATGGAATGCTTTTGCCTCTATGTCAACAATTTCTTGAAATGAAATTTCCTCTCTTAAATTTTTCTAAGATGAAAAGAAAGATATCGTTCTAACTCTCAAACTAAGACGGTAAAACCGGTCCTGTCGATCTGGTAATTTGGTTTCCAAGCCCACAGTAAATAGAAGCGCTTAAACGGCTGCCATCAAAATGAAGCAAGCCCAAACCTGTGGAGGCCCATTAAATCTATCGTATTGCATACGATATTAAAATGTCCTTTATCTCGTCCATGTAATTTGATCAAAAGTCCATATAATACATGACGTTTTTGTCTTGTTTTAGAGAAACGACGGAATCGCTAAATCAGAACGCAATGAATTCTAACACCGTCTGATGATTCGTCAAAGAATCGTAGCAGCATTCCCAGTGAGCTCCACCTGGCTTTACATGGGCCCCAGTTACTTTTCAAGTTGACACAGTCATAGAGGCTGCCCATGCAAGTTGACACAGAGGCTGCCCAATGCAATTTCGTATTATAATGAACAAAACTTTTATAAAAGAGCGTAGTAGCTCTTCCTGCATTGCCAAGTTATAGTATTTGCTTGATGGTTTTAATGGAGTTTCGTCTCTTTATAATCTTAGCTTTACTTTCTGTAAGCATATTTAACCATTTTTATACTCTTTTTTTTCTCATGTGTTTCTTATTAAGCAATTAAAATTCTGAATAAAAGAAAGTAATATGAGTTTGATATATGATGAAAATTTTATGGCAGGTGGTTATAACAGGAAATAATGCTGCTCTACCTGCTGAAGTGTACTGGCATTCCAAATTGCCAAACACTACAATTCCACAAGAGTTTCTAAATCTTTTGCAGCCCGGTTTGTCTCTAAGCTCAGGATATCTATATTAATTAACTTTTCTGAGTTCAGCTATGGAGATATGTGTATTGCGTCAATTTCTTAATATCACTTTATTATTTTAAGGTAATATTTCTTAATACCTTTGCTTCAATATGTGTGTATATTTATTTTTGTTTATTTGCAATTGGAAGCAGATATGGGAGATAAGCCTATTTATTGGGAAAACTTGGAGAAGGCATATATAAAATATGACAGACGATATGAGAATGCTTTCGTGGGAAGTAGGGATGATACGAGGGAGAAATTTCATAAACATAACCTGAACCTCCCTAACTCAACTGGGTTTTTTGTCTATAATGATCTCCATGTAGGCCAAAAAATGAGACTTCATATAACTAAATCAACGAACAAAGCTAGAATCTTGCCTCGTCAAGTTGCTGATTCTATACCTTTCTCAGTTGATCACTTACCAGCAATTTTACAACGTTTCTCTGTAAAACCTGAATCTCCTCAAGCCAAATTCATAAAACAAACTATAAAGGATTGTGAATCATCTGGCATTAAAGGAGAAGATAGATATTGTGCAACTTCTTTAGAGTCTTTAGTTGATTTCACTGTTAAACATGTTGGAGATAATGCTCAAATCCTCTTCAATGAAATAGATGAACAGAGGAGAGAGCAAGAGTATACTATAACGGACGTTAAATTGATCGGAGAAAATCATGTAGTATGTCACAAGCAAAAATACCCATATGCTGTGTATTTTTGCCATGCGCTAAATGGCACTAAAGTTTATATTGCTGGATTGGTCGGTGGTGATGGTATTAAAGCTAAAGGGGTGGTTGCTTGCCATTCAGATACCTCTGCTTGGAATCCAGGACACTTGGCCTTTTTGCTTCTGAACATGAAACCAGGGGACGGAACTGTTTGTCACTTTATTAAAAGTGATACTATTGCTGTGGTCTCCAATAATGAAATTATTGAAACAAAGCCTCACTGATACCAAATATCATCGGTGCAGTGCTTAGGGTTTTAAGCAAAGTTTCTAGCTGTAGTTGTAACCTATTCTACTTCTCTCAATAAGTCACTCTTTTAAGTGGCAATTCTTGGTATTAGAGTTCAGGTATTCCTTTTATTTTACTTAAGGAAATATTTTTGTAAATACTTAATTTTCTATTGGTTAGTTCCAACATTGAAAATAAGTTTGGAAATATTAAAATTTATAATGTATAACCCTATAAAGACTAGCTTATAAAAATCCTCGAGATGTGCAAGATTTAGGAACATATTCCATCATCGAGACAAGACAACTACAAAGGACAACGTTCATGTGAAGCTAACATGCAATTTGTCTTGGCCATTACAAAATTCCACAATTAATATTCTCTCACGAGTGAATAATAATTAATAAGGATATTGTTTCACTTACTCTATATATTAGAACGCCACTTACCTTAATATACATAAAAAAAAAAAAAAAAAAAAAATAAACGTCATTGTGACAGCTATACCATGCACACTTTGTCTATGGCCATTTACAAAATTCCACAATTAATATTCTCTCACGAGTGAATAATAATAATAGAGGATATTTTGTACTTTCAGCTTGGCATTACTTCCTACTATACTCATAGCAAGAACGGCCCACTCCCGTCTACCCTATCAATACTACTATACAAGCACATACGAGGACATAACAAAAAACAAAAATATTTAAGCTAAAAAAAAAAAAAAAAAAAAAAAAATTAAGCTTCGAAACTTTGAGAAAGAAATTAACTAAGATGGCAATTTCAAGATCATGCTTGGCTTTGGCTATGTTAGTAGTAGCCGGAATACTGGCTTTTTCCGGCGAGCGTGCTTGGGCCGTGAACTGCGATAATGATATTATAGGGCTTGCGACGAAATGTAAGAAATTTGTTGCTAAAGAAGGAGCCATTGAGAAACCATCGAACGATTGTTGTGCAGTGGTGAAGAAAGCCAACGTGCCATGCTTGTGCTCACATGTTACCAAGCAAATCGAAGATTTAATCAGCATGGAGAAGGTTTTCTACGTGGCTAAATCATGTGGCAAGAAAGTTGCTCATGGAACCAAATGTGGAAGTATGTAGTCTCTTTATACATATATTTAATATTTATATTTTTTTTTCTTTCATTAACTGTGATGAACATTTTAATTATTTTTGGCAAATTCCATTGCTAAATTTTATGTTTTTTTTTTTTTTTCACTCAGGTTACACTGTTCCACCGTCATGAAATGTGGAAGCCATTGAATGATGCAGTCGATCTTTGTCTTAATATATATATATTTTTTTTGTTTGCGTTTGAGGTTGTGATTTATTTTGTCATAAATTGAGTCATTAGCTGTGATAAAAACTTATGTATGGTGCAACTTTATTTCTGCAAAATTGTTTCGGCTGTTGAATGCGAATTTGGTCCATTTGCAACTTTAGCAAAGCATTAATAATACAGTAATTTGCATTTTTTTTTTTTTTTTTTAAAAATGAATTGCGAAATTTGGTCCTTTTGGCAAGCTTTACAAAGGCGATTAATGAAAGCGCAGTATAGTTTGCATTTTGTGTTTTTTTGTTTTTGAAAAACGCAGGGAAGAAACTAATAGAACATGAGATGAGTAAATTATGCAATTTGTTTGTTAGTTATTTTTCATTCCTTTGTGTTATTAATATAATAAACAGAGCACACTGCAAATACTATTTATGTTTTCCTTGTGATAGTGGACATGAATCAAATTTCATTTACAGGAAAAGACTGAATGATTACTGTAATTGGTATGACAATAACTGTCTCATTTATCTTTTTGAGATAATAACTATATGATTGCACAATTATTTTCACTATCTTCCTGCTCTCCAAGGAAGGAAAAATAGTCATATTCTTAAACTCTTTTGCAGATTATTTTCTTTTTCTTTTCTTTTTTTTTCTTGCACTTGGAAGCTAGAGTAATTTGCATTTTTTTTTTTTTTTTTGAAAAAGAGGGGAAGGAAACTAATGAAGTAGATGAGAAATTATCAATTTTGTTTGTTAGTTATTTTTCATCTTTGTGTTTTAATATAATAAAAGAAATAAAATATATTTATTTTTCTTTGATATGGACATGATACAATTTTACAGGAAACAATGTTATTATTGTATGACAATAATGTTCTCATTTATTTTTAGATAATAACATATGATTCACAATTTTTTCCTCTCCTCTCCCAAGCAAGGAAAAATACATATTCTTAAATCTTTTGCAGAGTTATTTTTCTTTTTCTTTTTCTTTTTTTTTCTTGCAATTGGAAGCAGATATAGGATTTCGGTCTGTAATTCTAGATTTCTCAGTTGTAGGGTCAAACACGAAGTTTGGGCTGTGATATTCAAGCCCGACCCAAGCTTCGCCCTAACCAAGTTTGGGCTTAAGCATTTTGGGATTTCATATCAAGATTTTCCAGAGAGTTTAAATTGTAAATGAAAGAAAATAAAATCTTCAGAAAATTTGTTCTCCGCAACCAAAAAGAATTTAGACACTTTTTGAAAAGTGAAGACTTTAAGGAGAGTTTAAATTAAGAAATTTTTTTAAGTTGGAATATATTTTATTAACTTTTTATATAATAATTAAGTGAACAATTAATTTAGGACATCCTAAATTAATAATATAGACTAATATTTTGATACAAAGAGTAGTATTTTTCATTGCAGAAAATTCTATACCACACAAAATAGTTATTTAGACATATTTGATTATGTAGACATGTTTGGTTTACAAACAAATCTACTCAAATTTATTTTGCAAATACATAGAAAATACGTGCAATAATAAGCCATTTGCTTGGAAACTTAGCTCCGGACCCAGACGAAGGTATCACTGTAAAGGAAGTGGCAAATTGATGGTCCTCCTGGCTTAACTTTTAGAAGTTGAAAGGCAATGTGATTTGGATCCCAAGCTGATGTATCTTTGTGGCAAATAACTAATGCCTTAGCTTTTCTGCCATTAGCACCCAATAAGGGAACCATATAAACCTCTGTGGCTTTCAATGTATGGCAATAAAACACAACATATGCGTATTTCTCTTTATGACATACAATCTGTTCTTCTCCCAGCATTTTGATTCCATTTAAAACCCTATAATTTTGCTCCTTGTTCTTCTCTTCTCCCTCATTCGAAAGAACCAGAACCTTTTTTCCAAGCCTTGCTACCCCAAAATCAACAAATGATTCTAAAGACGTAGCACAATATTTATCTTCCCCATTCATTATTGGTGCCTCACATTCTTGAAGTGTCTGTTCTATATAGTTGGCTTCTATTGATGTGTCGTTTATTGAAAAACGATTCAGAATCTCTGGTAACTTGTCGCTTGAGAAAGGGATGGAGTCGGCAACTTGACGAGGCAAGAAACTAGTTTCATTATCAAGATCAGTGAAAATGAGACTGAAAGAGTTGCCAGCACGGAGATTATTATACAAGAAGAATATAGTAGCACTGGAGTTATATTTTGATATGTCATCTTGTGCTTGTTCTTTACCATATATTGGTCGACCAGGATATACTTTTCGACTATATCCTTTTCTACCATATACTTTTCGACTATATACTTTTCGACTATATACTTTTCGACTATATACTTTTGGACCAGTAGATGTAATTCTAGTGCCGCCATCTGCTCGCAGTGAAGGGACAGTAGCGTATGGAAACCCATTCGGAGAATTGCCTTTGTTTTCTGCAACATACATATAGGTTCTATTGGATTTTAAATAAATAAACAAATAAATACAAATTATTATAATTGGAAATATGAATTAATGAAGATGATTATGTAAAACTAACCAGGCTGCAAGAGAAGTTCTTGTAGAGTTTTAGGTAATGGGACGTTTGGCAACACCGACTCCCAATAGAGCATAGGAGATAGAGATGCATGGCTTCCCACTAGCAGCAGCTGCCATTATTATTAATATAATCAATTATTAAAAATGTTTAAGTATAATTTTTAATATAATAATCAATTATTCTTTTTAATTATTTTAAAAATATACATATTAATCCATTAATTATAGCTTCGTTTCTTGAATATGTAATCAAATATTTAATCATTACAACTTAGTATTTAATCAAATACAACACACATAAAATGATTGCAAGACATAATAGCTTCGTTTCTTGAATATTGACAATATATAAACTTACAGTGCATAGCAAGGCAAGGATAGGCAGGAGATGACAACTGAACTCCATATTGAAGCTGAAATGGGTTTTTTTGAGTACGAGAAATGCATGCATACATATTTATAGGATATTATCCAATATATAGGGCGGCGCAGTTATTTTTTTAAATTATAATTTGTAAATTTCTAAAAAGTAAAATTTCTCTTACATTTTACTATAAAAACTGTCAGAAACTTCCACTTGATGTATATGTATGAATTGTTTTTTTTCCCAATTAAGAATAAATTATATTTCTTAATTTGTCTTCGTCATTCTCTAATTTAAATTAGTTTGACTCCATCACTTAATTTTTACGTCACATACAAAATGCTTTTATATGACTTAATGGGTTAATATATAAAATACATCCTCAAAATAGTAACAAAATTAATGAAATAATAATTCAATTTTGGCTCTGTGATTTATGATTGTAAAGCTACATAGAGCTATCTTTTTGTTCAATGTCTTTTATATATCGTTTAGCATGCCAGACTGCTCGTTGCATAGTAAAAGTAATTATTTCTATATCCGAAAGAGCGAGTGAGATATTTTGATTCCAATAACTTGATTTAAAGCCCTGAAAAAAAAAAAAAAAAAGCTATTATCAAAATCAAAAATTGCTCATCTCATAAATTTTTAACAATTTCTATGGGGGAATTTATTTTGGATTTGTTAAAATTAAAACCAGATAATTTCGCTTATGAACTTACAAACAAAACGTCATTGGCACAATAAAATCTTATCCTTACGTGTGAACCTTATTTCCACCAATTAGATAAGGTTGAGATCAGGTTCACACGTTAGGATTTCATCTGGGTCATATGGGATTCCCCCGGCCCGTTCTCTCCCATGATTGAGATATTCACAATCGGCTGAATTTTTATTCCATTAAGGGTTTAAGCTCGTTGCTTTTTTGTTTCCCTATAATTGGAATCGTAGGACTTAACTTGTATGATGGGCTTTCTCTTTTTCTTTGTCTTTAACATATCATTTATTTATTTTTATAACGATCCATTTGGGTATGGCAAATTGGCAATTCAACATTTCTTTAAAGAAAATGAATTTCCAAAAAAATTAATATGAAAAGATTAAACTATTTTATTTAGATGATAATAAAAATATTTTTAAACTATAAGATAATTAAGAATATTCATGTTATTAAATTTTTAAAAATATTTGTATACTGAAAATTTAATTTTCTTATCTTTTTTGAGAGGGGAAAGCATATGTATGTAGAAAAATATAGATAATGGAAAGATTTGAGAAATGAATTTTCCTGAAAATGTAAAATTCTATAGCAACAAAATGTGAGAATTATACTTTTCCAAGTTACTATTTATGAATTTATTGTTTCAAAATTTTATTTGCTCAAATTATTTTTGTATGATAATCAAACTCTGTTCAAATTAATGAATAAAATTTAATGATCAAGTAAATCTCAGTGACATATATTATATTCATGCGCATGGGATGATTAAATTCCTCACAAATAAAATAATATAGCTTTGTCCACGTTGCTGGAGATAGCTAGAAGTATGTCGGCTGTGGAATATTCAATGCACTGGAGAAGAATATTCAAAAAGTGGAGAGGGGTGCAATAATAGAGAGATGTATAAATATAATTAGAGGAGGACATTGTTAGAAAGAATGCTATTCTAGTAACAACACTGCTTTTGAAATGACACTGGCAAACTGACGTGTCATCATTTATTCCAGTTCACCACATTTACAAAGCAACTGATGACTCACGAAATAGACACTGTCCCAGCCCATTAAGACTGGGCCCTGAAACTCTGATCATAACAGAGCCCATTAAGATCAGGCTTTCTAAGCCACTTTTGGATCGTAAATGGACAGACTAGCCTCATTCATTTGGTTTCAGTTACAAAAAACAATTAATAACAAAAACAAGAAAAATACAAACTATAAAATGATTCCCAGATGGCAATGATCAGTGCAGATTTCGTGCGATGATGACATGAACATTATCAGAAATGTTAGAAAAGCCAGTATAAACTCTCAACAATCTCTACTTACCTAGTGATCGACCCCTTACATTTCACTAACAAGTGGCCTCTCAACTTAAAACTCTAATCTCTTCAGATTTCCAATAAAACCCTGTGATTAATGGCTGTTTTCTGTATATATAACACAATCCTGGCGATACCTTAGCACCCAGAAATGGCTGTTTCAAGTCGTAGGTTCCAGTATTGCTTGATCTTGCCCATACTCATAGCAGTTGGAATGCCAATATCTAGCCAAATGGCTGCAGCCCATAGCTGTAACACTGATATTGTGGGTCTTGTATCACAATGTCAAAAATCTGTAGAAAAGTCAGGACCAAGAATTTCACCATCACCTGGGTGCTGTGCTCTAGTGAAGAATGTTGATGTTCCATGCGTTTGTGCTCTTCTTACAGAGGAAATTCAAGATATGATCAGCATGAAGAAGGTGGTCCATGTCGCACGATCCTGTGGTAAAAAGATTTCACCCGGAACAAAATGTGGAGGTAAGTTCATCAAAATATTTTCTTCCATATATATATATATATATATACATATTGAAATATTGTGGATTAAAGAATCAAAACGGTTGCAAATTTTATCTGCTAGTGCCATATTTGGCCTTCACCCATTATTTGCCACAGGAGCACACTTAGTTAAAGCTAATAACACTGTGATTTCAGGTTATACAGTTCCCAGAACATGAAGTGAATCTGTGCTTGATCTTTTCCAGCAAATATTAACAAATAAAGACATGATTGTGCAGATGTGATCAGATTCAAATGTGTATGTTTCCTTAATTTCTAATGATCGATATCATATCTTCTACTTAATATTTAAAATGGAAGACTGTGAAGACTCTCCACATCTATTACCCTTTTGCTTCTAACTCTGATAACAAAAAGAGTACTGCTTAATGAGTACTTCTGATTCTATCAAAATCCTGTTAAATTTTATCATATGTTGATTGTTTTCTACACTTATAATTGAGATCAAATCTTATATAAAGCTCAACAGCGTCATTTGTATGCATCATCCAAGGCAATTCTAAACATGTTCGCAAGCCAAACAACCTTTTTGAAGACAGCATGATCCGTTCAAGTCTGAGATTTCTCTCTCCAATCTCCACCCCAATATATCATCTAACAGGCCAAGTACCTCGGGGAATGGGAAATTTGTCAAATCTTGAATCGTTAACCTCGTCTCAAACAAAATGGATTGACTTGGATCTTATTTCCTAATAATTTACTGCTAAGATTGTAAAATCAGCGAAGAACATTGTATTTGACATAAGTTTAACAAGATCAAGAAGATAGCATACTATGTAACTCTGAGAGGAACTCACTACCTGAAGCCAATTGCCTGCATCTTCAAGATTCACAAAGCTCATGAGCCATATTTTTGCTTTTATTTAGTGGGCAAAGCTAATAATTTCTTTATCCGAGGAAATGTTTATCTTAACTTCTAGCAGTTGATTTACAGATGGAAAATTCTGCAGAAACGGAAGTCATTCATAATCTGAACGGATATCGATATTGACATACGACACAATTGCTAACAGGAGGTTCTTAAACCAGGAAAATTCTGACAAACCAAAAAAATCAAAGTTGCTGGAAAATCGAAAAGAAACAGGACTAATGAAAAAGCAAGATTTTGAACAAAAAGACACCTTTCTGTGACCTTTATTGACTGTTTCATTTCAAAGTAAGAACCCGTAAGTATTAGCATTCAAACTCGAGGGCCGTACCTTGGCTTGGTTCCATACCTTGGAAATTTTCTTACACTCCCTAATTCTACGTGCTATATAGTTAAACCAATATAATATACTACATACAGGGATCTCAGTCCAACCAAATGAGACTGAAGCCTATAATTACAGGCAATAAACCAAGAAAAACAGAAATCTCCGAGATGAACAATTCACTTTCTTGAGATAGGAAAGAAAGGGAGGATACCTCGTAATCTCGAGTAAAATCCAAGCCCCCAATCAAGTGTACGAGTACCAGAAAATTTCTTTTGCTAGTTGCACAAGGAGATCGAGACATCTAGGTTGGACTCTGATCTTCAAGGACTGGGAAGATACATTTTCAGCTTTGGTGTTTTCCGTTCCGTACCAGAATTTGAACGGAATTTAGCAAAAAGGAAGTCGAGATCGTAATCAGCAGGGCAAAATTTGCCAAATCCTCTCGCGAATTGGTCTTCTGCTAACTTCTGATGACGTGGCGGAAACTGGCCAACGCATAACGAAAGGGAAAGTCTGCATGACGTGTCATCTTCACCATTGTAAAAATTGACACGTGGCTGTCCTCACCTTGTAAACGTGGTTGGATGGATGCCTTCGTGGTAACTAATCGATAAGGTGGCATTAAATCTGTTGACGTGGTAATGATGTGTACATTATATGTGACATTTTCTAATGATATTGCTGTGACATGGCCGGGGTTATATATGGTAACGTGGCACCCAGAACGGACATGGTGTTTGCGCTGGAGATGCCAGCATGGCCAGTACGGATGAGGGGAGCATTGCAAATAGTGGAAATACGAGTTCTATTTAGCAAAGGAAATTGTTCCGGAAGTCTCTATAGTACTCTCCTTAAGTCCTTAACAGTGTCCCATTCGCATATATAAGGTGCGACTTACGAGACACACTTTCTTCCTTAACCCCTACTTCATTTTTATTCCTGCTTAAGAACTTTTACTCTCCGAGTCACCTGAGTCTAGGGCAAAATCATTTTTCATGGCGATAATTTCAGACTTTCAGGAGGACGAACACGAGAGCAAGCCGGCCGCGTCATCATCGTCATCACCCAAAACATTGCCGTTTAACGCAACATTCGATCCGAGCAATCCGATAGGGATTGTGGAGAAACTGTTTGATTTTCTGGTGAAAGAGACCGACTTTATGGCTCAAGACACAGCGGAGAAGCAGATCGTGGCGGTCGTTAAGGCAGCTAAGGATAAGGTTAAGAAGAAGATGGCGGAAGAGAGAGAAAGGGAAGCTGCTGCCAAGCAAAAAGAGAGCAAGAGGTTGAAGGAGGAGGAGAAGAAGGTTGAGGTCAAAAAGGAAGTGAAGACTGAGGTCAAGGAGGAGCCTATGGAGGTTGATAAGGAGGAGAGTGGCACCAGAGGTATGAATTTATTCTGACTTGATCTTCCCGTCACTTCTTATCTTGGTCCATAATCTTGATTTGTATAGTTAGAGAAATTGGCATAGTAAAGGGTACATTTTGAATCTTCTTGCCTGTTTAGTGGCTATAATGGAGGCAAGTTTTAGGTCCACCCCTCCCCCCCTTTCTGGGAGGGGCGAGAACGGTGAAATGTTTGCTTCATTGCTTGATTATTGTTCGTTTCGTAAATCCTCAGCATTTTAGAAGATTGTTAGTAAGTTTGCATTGTGAGACTATGGTATATTTTTGTTTGGATTAATTTTGCCCTAAGTTAGTAGTTGTTGGTGTCATTTATTGTTAAATGTAGAAAGGATAAGTATTGCTGAATCTGTTGTTAATTGTTATTTTGCTGTGGGGAAAAAGAAAGTCCAATTATTGCAATTTAACTTATCAACTAATTTATTGAAAATGGTTGTTAAGGCAATAGTTAGGCCTGAAAGCACCTAAAAGATGTAAATTGTTGGAGTTGGGCAAGAAGGGGGAATTCATTAGTATTTTATCTGGATGTATGTATATATGTTAAGAATAACTTGCAGCCTTGAGGATCTTAATCATCAACTCTTGTTTTTTGTTGTTGTTATCATCGTGGGAGGGGAGGATGTATGATTTGAGTTATTGAGACTTGAGAGTGTGAAGGAAACACCAAATTCCAATCCTGGAATACTTACGAAATTAGTAGAGAAATTTAACTGCAGTTGAGTTGATATTATTCAGTGTGCCTCTTTGTGGGATGGTACAAATTGTAATGTTGAATCTTAATTAACAGCTTATTGAGCTGAATCACTAAAGAGTTGAATGATTAAGTAGTAGTATATGGTATATGGTGCTGTCTTGTCTTTTTTGATTAAAACAATATTTGTGATTGCTGCTGTCACTATGTGGTACTTTGGTCGGACACACAGGGATGAGACCTCAGCTTGTGTATCTGAAACTGGTTATAGATTGAACTAAAAGCTTCAAACTTTATTGAATTAAAAGGAAAGTTCATACGAAATCATGGAAGAAATTATTTTAGACAATGAAAGTGTTAGACTTATTTTGGATAATGGGCAGTTTATGGATTGGACAAATGTCTTAGCTTCATGCTTACTCCTTAAATCTGTAAACATGTACATCCTACACAGTATTCACATTTAATGAGATACATAGTTCCACAAAAGATCTATAAGTCCAAGCAATATCGAGACTTGGATGTTGCCATTATTTAGTTAAGTCATCATATGAATCCACTTGGCTTCAGTTCTGTCTATTATTCATCAATTATTTGATTTTAAAGTCACTTATGTTATTTTAGAGAAATGGTATGTCATTCTATATTCTTCTTACTTTTTCATCGTTTTCTGTCTCGAATATTATGGACAGTTCCAAACAAAGGTAATGGCCTTGATCTGGAGAAATATTCTTGGACACAGACGCTGCAAGAGGTTACTGTGCAAATTCCAGTCCCTTCTGGAACTAAATCAAGGTTTGTTGTATGTGACATAAAGAAAAACCACCTGAAAGTTGGACTGAAGGGTCAGCCTCCAATAATTGAGGTAAGCCTGAACGTACACTTCTTTTGCGCTGAAACTTATCTCCTTATTATGCTTGGATGACTTTCACCTGAATGTATATAAATATTTGCAGGGAGAGCTTTACAAACCTATCAAGGTTGATGATTGCTATTGGAGTATAGGTATGTTAGCTTCTACCTTCATGTTAAATGCACTAAGCATGCTATTAATTATCTGAATGTTTTGTATGGTATTTGCTATAACCTTTAAAAAAAAAAAGAGAGGCTGAGTTGCTTATTAAGTGTTAAATTGTATCATTTCCAGAGGACCAGAATACCATCTCAGTTCTTTTGACCAAGCATGACCAAATGGAATGGTGGAAATGTTTAGTGAAGGGAGATCCTGAGATTGATACTCAGAAGGTTGAACCTGAAAATAGCAAACTGTCTGACCTGGATCCTGAAACAAGGCAGACTGTTGAAAAAATGATGGTAAGTTTTTATCCTTCTCACGTTTACTTTTTGTTTGGGGGCTTGTGGCTATTCACCATCTTTTGTTCACTGGAGATTTTCTGTTAGATGGTTTGTCTTAGTTGTATAGTTGATCTATTAGTTGGTTTTGTTGATTCTCTTGGCTTCTATGTGCTGATTTATTTTCCAGTATACCTACTTAGGATTTTTTTTTTTTTTTTCCAAAATCTGTAACAGTTTGATCAAAGACAGAAGTCTATGGGTCTCCCAACCAGCGATGAGATGCAGAAGCAGGAGATTCTGAAGAACTTCATGGCCCAGGTGAAAATCGAGAGGCTTTGGAGCAATTTTATCCCTTTTTATCTTAAGCTTGTCTCTAGTTGTTAAATTTGCTGATGTATGTTTTTGATGTTGCAGCATCCAGAGATGGACTTCTCAAGAGCTAAGATAGCATAGATGGAACTATTCAATTTGGCAGTTGGGTTTTTGAAGAAGGCTGAGGCCCGTCTATGCTAATTTTGTGGATTTCCTTTTTGCTGGGCTTGGAGTGATAGTAACTTAGGGGCAATCAGTGGTTCTTCAACTCTGTTCATAGTTATAAACAAAAAATTTTTTGGATCCATAAGGTTTACAGTACTAAACTTGATTAATATAGCTTTTGGTGCTGTTTCTGCTTTTACTATGTGGTTTAATAGCTATTGTGATTGGACTTCTTTCTTCATTTTCTATTTTATGTTAGCTGATGGTTTTCATGGTTCTTGCATGAGCAGCTCTTGAATGTTTGAAACTTAAATGTTCGAATATTAATTTTTTAATTTAACTTTATATATTGGGGTTCTTGCGATGAGCAGCTCTTGAATGTTGAAACTTAAAATGTTCGAATATTAGATGTTTTAATTTTAATTGTTATATAGTATAGTATATATATATATAGGTTAGTATATAAGTATGAGAGGACGAGAGAGAGAGGAGGAGAGAGAGACGAGGAGATAAAATTTTACCAAAATCCCTTTTTTCAAAAATTTGGTTAAAGAGATAAAGTGCAGTTTCCATTTTTAGAATTGAAGTTGGTAGGGTTTGTCTGTAACCCCTCAATTCGGATTAGCTGTGGAAAAGGTGCAGGTTTCTCCTTCACAGGTTCCAATTGGGCTTGGGCTAGGTGCCTTAATGACCATTGAAGGTTTCTTCTGTTGCCAAAGAAACATGCCGTGCCTAAATTATTCAGACCAGTGGGCACTTTTAGCACCATTTCTTCATCGTTTATCCTCAGCGGCTCATCATTTACTAGGTTCGCCATTGATCCAATAATTCAAGGCCTTCTATTTTGAGATATGAGAAAGGTAGAATACGTATTTGGTATGTAAGCTGTATAATTTAGGAGTTGGCAACAGTACTTTTCCAAAAAAAAAAAAAAAGTACGTGATGGAAAGGAAAAATATTGGACGAAAGGAAAAAAATGAAATAATAAAAATCTATTTCACATTAAACCAATGTAGTTTATTCAATTTAATTCTTTTTTTTCAGATTGAGAAATCTTTTGCCGGACATTAATAGGGAAACAATTAAAAATTATCGACTTTTCCCCTCCCGTTCCAACATAAAAGTGCTTTAAATTTTTGCAGAAGAATCAGAAAAATCAATTGATATTTTAAATGTATAATAAATGAAAATAATTTTATCGAATTACCTTTTTAATCTCATGGTCATTTGATAATATATGAATAGATGAAAATTGAAAAAAAGATAAGTTTATTGAGTTCAAGGAGTATTCAAAAATATCTGAGTGGCTTGATTATATGTTTAAACTAGTAATTCAACCCGTTACGTTGGCAAGTGAGCGTTGGAGTTTCCCTAAAAGTTGACATGATGAGGTCCAATGTTGAGCTGACAATTATATATAAAAGAGAAGAACAAAGTGTTGTCGGTTCGAACCCGAGATTTGAACCCCACCCCCACTTATTGTGCATGTAAAGCGAAGCGATGTCTTAAAAAGCGAAGTTAAAATTTAAAATTTGTCCGGCGAGTATGGCCATATGCGGGTATTTTGTCCCCCTTTGTGGGTCTTCAGCCCGCAATGCTAATAATGAAATCCTGGTTAATGAAAGAAACTAGAGTAGGATTGAACAAGCAGTTTTCATACAGCTCCATATACATATGAGGACAAAACCAAGTTGGTCGGGGACACGTGGCACTTATAAAAAAAAGCCATAAAATTTCACTCTTCATAGACATGGCCACGGGTTCATTTTTGAAAACCGAATCTAAACCGTCTATGTATAGATGAAACAGAACCAGATCGAAACCATTGGTTTAAAAATTTTGAGCTGAAATCGTGGGCGTGGTTGCAAAGGACCGGTTGAAGATTCATGAGAATGTGTAAATCTTGAATCCGAATCAACGAGTTCCGGTTCCGGTTCGAAACCGAAAGATTTTCTAGTTTTTATTTTTTTAAAATGATAATCAACAGTTAGGCCTACTTTGTATACATTCTCTAAAATTTTCAATAATATTTTGGCCTACAAAGGATATGCTTATATTTATGAGTGGTTTTTTAAACACCACTTTATTTTAAAAGTTAAAAATCTAAAAGGTAAGAATGGGTTAAAAAGAAAAAAAAGAGAAATATTGTAGTTTTAAACTGTAAGATCGTTTTGTTAACTTTTTTTTCTTTTTACCCTGTTGTAAATTGTGTTACTGAAAGTTTAAAAATTTAGAATTCTTTTTGAAGCATTTGTTCAAAATTTGTTTTGATGAAATTTAGTTAGATTAGATAACATTTAAACAGAAAAAAATTGATTAATTTATTTGATTATTTTTGTAAAATTAATAATTTTATTCGTTAGTATGGAGTATGCGAGCATTTAAAAGTTTATTGTGTAAAGGAAAAGTTGACCAATTATTTTTTTAAAACTCATCATTAATATTTTTGAAAAAAAGAGGTATAACGTGGGTAAGATCGTTTTTTTTTTTTTTTGAAAAAAAAAAAAAAAGATATAATTGTCGGAAACCGATAATTGGAAGACCGGTCGAGTTCATCTGAACCCACACCGAAAGTCGGACCAAAAACGAAACCAACGGGTTAATGAAACTGACCAGCCTACTAATGAAGAACGGCAAATGACTCTCTAGTCGCTTTAGGGGGACGTTGAGGTCCGTAACCCTGACGCGCGACCCTGTCCTTCTTCTTTCTTCTTCTTCTTCTTGCCTAGAGATGGCTTTTATTTTCATTGGCCAGAAGGTATGCAAACTTTCCGTCTTAGGAAAAAAAAGCAGTTGAACTGGCTTATGCTCCATGGTCTTGTAGGTTTTCCCGCGTATAGGGCAATTGCCGGTCAATCTTTAAATTATGGGAATGAATCTTTTGTTTTTTTTTTTTTTTATAAAAAAAATGCCTAATTAAGGTATTCATTAAAAACGCCCGGATTGGCGGTCTCTATTTAGGGTTATTGCGCTTGCTCTGAAAATTATGTTATTTTTCAGATTCATAAGGATATGAATTGGAGCTTAAATGTATTTGTAGAAGAGGTCCCATTGACGGATCATTACTAGTATGAAGGTATATAGTCTATTTAGACATTATTCTGTTGAATTGATGGTTGAAGAATAAGGGTATAGCTCGAGGTTAAATAATGTTAATCAGAAAGTTCTATTTTGTTCAATAAATTTTAGCAATATATATGGATATATAGGTAATGTATAGAATGAAAAAGTAATGGAATTTTTAAGAAATGATCATTCAGTATTAACAAATTGAATAATCCCTAAAAGTATCAGTTAGTCATGAGCTAATTAAAAAAAATAGTATCAGGGATTTTGATAATTAGATTTAAAAGATGGCTTGAGTCGGGTTGAAAATAAGAGAAAAAAAAAATATATATATAGTATATATATGATAGATAGTATATGTATATATGATGTTTAATTCATCGAGAGGTTCTGAGAGTAGGGTTTTGAGGGAGAAGACCGAAATTTTATGTGCTCGAAAGAAAACTTAGAACTCCCGAGAGCCTTTCATTTCTGGGCGGTGGAGTAGGTAAAAAAGCATGAGAACCAAAACCACTACCTTTTTATTCACCGAAATATATTTATGTATAGTAATATATATATAGTATAGGTGATATAGTATATATAAATTTTATGGCCAATTTTAAGAAGATGTTCTATATCTTGATCATCGGTCAACGGTTGATTTTGTTTATTGGCTTGTTGCTTGGATTACTTGTAGTTCGATTTTTATTTAGTTATTTCTTATAGGGCAATTAAATTCCATTAAGATGGAAGATTAAAAAAAACGAAAACAATATACATGAAAAAAAAATGCGGTTGGGTAAGGAGGGTGTTGGCTATATTAAAATCCGATTCAAAAAACCAATTTCATTAGATGTAATTAATTGAAACCAATTAAATTCATGAATACCAGTTGTACTTAAAGTGCGAGCCACGACAAATTAACAGCAGATGCTAGACGCAAACGGTAACAGACACTCAGGCAGCTTCAACCTCATTTTGTAATCAACAGGTATTTTCAGAAATTGGAAAAAAAATTATTATCCGAGTGATTAAAAACTTAATAGCCAATAAGAAAAAACTTTTATTTGTTGGTCTTGTTGCATCTTTTTTTGCCCATGCCTTTTGGCCTAATTGAAGAAAATCCTGTATTATTGATGCTAACCAATCATCTTGGAAATCAGAAATGATTGTAATATCCACATTTCATGTTGGCGAGAGGTCACTGCTCTGTTTAATTCAATGATCAGGATGAAGAATTGCAAAAATGTCACAACAGTTGATCATTGCAAGCTTGATTAACTGTTTTCACCGATTATTGTAGTGCCTTCTGTAAGTGGGTTCATTATTCTTCATACCCAAACCAATCAGGTATTTTGATTTTTTTTCTTTATGCATCTTCCACAAGTGTAGATATCAATCGACTGTTTATAGAGGTATGTGTTAATGGTGTGTGCTCTTATTAAGAATTATTTTTGCGTTTCTCTGTTCATAGATGCAGTCTGGTAATTTTTCAAACGTTTTCATTGATACTTACTTTCATGAAGGCTATTGGAAACATGTGTTAGAGGGGGGGGGCGCGGGGGGGGGCCTTTTTCAAATTTTTGTTTTTCTTGAAATTTAAGATTGGGGGGGACCCCGTGTGGGATTCTATATAATTGAAGGTGACTGGGCTACCGAGGTTTAGTTTTAAACTTTATTAGCTGGAATTGGTTGGAGGGATTTGGTCGGAAAAGCCTCAGAACCGCGGAATGAGAATTTGAAATTTCCAGTTGTTGATTAAAACTTGGAAATGAGGAAGAGGATTCAGGCCAATTTGGTTTTCTATTGAGCTAAAACTCCAATGGTTCCATCAACAGGAAGGAAGATTAGAAGTGGACGAAAAAAATACATATAGTTTCAATTATTTCTGTATTTTAATACTATTAAGAATAATGATATTTCAAGAACTGGGCAGCATCTCTCCTCGTCGCCGCGGGTGCCATTCCTGGGCTATGTTGTTTGCTCTTACTTTCCGGACCCACCGCGCCTTACCAAAAGGGGGTTTGGTATACATTATGTTGTTATAAATTTATAGTTTTTAATTATTTTTTGTACGCCGATGTAGGTCGCCAAAAATGTTCATGCTTTGATTTTGATTAATAAAGATTTATTTATTTATTTATGGTTATTTTCTCCATCAAGCGGTTGATATTATTCATTTGAAAGGACTCCTTGCGTCGAATAATTGGAGGGACAATCACGTTGCTTTAGTCT